AAAAGCCTATCAAAGAACACTCTAGAATAATGTTGGTAAGCAAGCTTGTGCAGTGAAGACCAGATCTCCTGAGCTGCAGGTCATAAGAGGGGAAGCCTGGATGTTGGACTAGTGGGTTGCCATTCTGTCTGATCTGGACTGCCCTTGCCCCTACTTTAATCAAAGAGACCATAAGGGCTCAGAGAAGCTTTGTAACCTGCCTGGGATCACAGATCTGACCTTGATCTTTAGGCTGCCTGGTGCCGAGCCCAGGTTTTTCTCAGAGCTACCCAGAAGGGTTCCTGTCCCTGACTAAGGGTGCTGTGCATGGATTCCCTTCAACTGTCCTTTCTCCTCTGAGTTTGAAGGAAATGGCAAAGATGAGCAGTGAGGGCTATCTCTCACTCCAGAACTCTGCTGCCAGCTCCCAGACAAAAGGACACAACACAGGAAAGCATCTTGCATCTTTTCCCAGGACCTAGCTCCAGACCACAGCTGGCCTTCATCCTTGATTCCTAGGACAGTCTCAAGGCTCACTTACCCAGCTCCTCTTATGCAGTTCTTTGTGAAGCCAAAGGCCCACATCAGAAGAAAAGAACGGCTATGGACAATGACACTGTGCTAAACATAGCTCTGTACATTTGAAAATGAACAATGTGTAAAAGCCTTGAAACATTTTTTCTTTGATGTGAATGGAGTCTTCGGCATTTCGAAATACAATACCATGAATTAATTGCTACTCATTAGGCAGCAAGTCAGGCCAGCACTGAATGTGGCTTCCCTCCTCCACAGTAGCTGTGGCCTGACCAGAATTGCCCCTTTTGTATTTGCTCCCGCCTTCTGCAATGATAAGCAAATTAGAGATCTCAGCTAGAAAACATTCAAGTGCCCCATCCTTTGCCCAGACCACCTTATGTTTTTGTGATGTTTATCTGCTCAAGGGTCACGGCCAATTATTGCAGAGGTCACATGAATACACACTTTGCTTGATTAGAAACATCTGCAAAAGTAATTCTTAGGGAAGTATTTTGTGTTTTGTCTTTTTCTGGTGGGGAAAAATGTGTTTTTTTTTTTTCAAGAAAATTGCTGTTTTCCCTCCCTTGCATTATAATTTTATGTTGCTGGGAAAAGTATCTTTGCAGGGAAGCATTTAATAGCTCATGAGAGCTTTTTACTCTTGGTCTCTGTGACATCCATGGATAAACTGGTGTGTTCTATGGTTTGTATACATACTCTATATTCCATATGTTAGAACTTTACAGGTTATCTATATATGCTATATATAGCATGGTGTTCATTAATGAATGGCAGCTGAGATACACTGCATATGAGACCATGCATTTTCTTTATATTTATTACCCCTTGAAGTTTGTCTGTGGCTAATATCTAGATAGTGTTTTGCAAACCAACGAGAAAGGAGGGAAAAACTCATGATAGCGAGAGTCTGGTTCATACAGTGTCCTGGACTAGAAGAGCGTCCTCTTTGGCCATGTGCATTCTCATTGCTGTCTTCCTATTATGTATGTTACATACAGGTATTTTTCTAACACCACATCCATTTTGATCACAAAGAGGAGGCAGTCAACAGAACAGAGCTGTCTTCATGAAATATGAAAGCCTATTTACTTACTAACAGTTTATAAAGTTTCAGGCCTAGGAGTTTATGAGTGATACTGGACTGTGCAGATGGGGTAGGGGCAGTGGAACCCTTGATGGTGTATGGCATGAATTGATGGTGAGGAAAGAGGATAGATAAGGAGTCTCTTACCTCTAGCCCAGACTTTTCCAGCATCTTTGACCCATATCTGCTACTCCAGTTCACCAGGCCATGGGCTCAAGAGGAACAGGGAATATGAACATGTCCCAGTCCTCCTCCCCCATTTTCTTCTCCTGTGCTCCTGTGTACATTCATACTCAGAATTTCCTGGGGTCCGAGATAGGCAGAGTATAACTCAATATTGGCTTACTAGTGTTTCAAGATAACGCAGTACGTTCATCCTTTGTAAATCTCATCCTCATCTCAGAAACATCAAGAGCTGCAAACACATCTTAGAGTGAAATTAATTTGGTGTGTGAGTATAGCTCACGTTCCTTAATTTTTACATGCACCGAGACTGACTGGGTCCACCAGCCCCTCTTCTTTTATATGAGGGTGAGAGGAGCAAATAGATAAAAGGTCAGGGTATTTTCCCACAGTGACACAAGCAAGCATTTTGCCCATGTCTGACACTTAGGGTGATAATTTTCCAAGTCAGGTGGGTATCTCTGCTGCAAATGACATCTGAGAGATCGTTTTCCTGAACTCCCATCTCAGGGTAAGAGGGTCTGCGCCCAGGCTCCTATCCTGATCTTTATGTGGCTCTGCCAATGCTCATTATCTATCTCCAGGGTTGCTTTGGATTTTAACCCCCCCCCAAAAACCCAAAACCCATACACGCACAACACAGCCCTTTTAATTTTCACATGTATATTATAGATGAAGGGCCACTGCTATGAAATTTAATGAATAGAGTATTTCTACTGAAAAGATACGAAGTCACAAGTGTAGACATTTTAGTCCATTTGCAGAAAATTGCCTGTTCTCAGGCAGGTGGGTCAAGTGCAGAAGCCACTACTTGAGATAACATTTCCGTCCTACACTTGGCTTTCTGTCTGTCAGGACAGGCAGCTAAGAGGTATCCAGATTTGAACAAACTACTAGGTTGCTACTGATTGCTAGTTCACTGGCCTTATAGATTATGATGTGCTGGTTACAATGGGGTTCGCCAGCCCCCTAGTAGCTACAAATACATGCATTTATAATGAGCCCAGAAGGGTGTAAGAAATTAAGGTGCAATTCTTCCTAAGTGAAGAAAGAGACAGGTGTGGCATGATTTGCCCTAGGTAGGACAGGAAACCAGAACTTCACTCCCTAACAGTGTGTGTGTCACCCCAAGAAAGCCACAGATATCCCAGAAAACAATGCCTTTGCTCTCCTCTATTTATTTGAACTTTGTTTTTATTTATGTACCTGCCAGAATAGCCAGTAGTCATTAAACAGATGAATCAGATCTTGTTCTGAAGTTGTGAGAGGTAATCAAACAGCAAAGATAGTTTTTTTTTCCTCCCTACATGGTGACTACTTTCTGTGTTTCAAAAGAAGGAAACTGCGGCTGGTGAGACGGCTTAGCAGGTAAAGGCACTAGCTGCTAAGCCTGATGACTGGAGTTCAATCCCAGGGACTCACAAAGTGGAAGGAGAGAACTAACTTCTGCAAACTGTTCTCTGACCCCTTATGTTGGCACACACATATTTAATAAGTGTTAAAAAATTTTAAGGAGACTATCAGACCTTCATGGATATTTTGAAGAACTTTGAACATACCTAGCAAAGAAAAATGTTTCAAGCAGGTCCTCATAGCCAGTAGGTCTCGGAGATTCAAGGAACTGGTTTTTCTCTGGACCTGGGCTTTAGTTTGACATGCCCCACTAAAATGCACCAATCATATTCCACACTGGGGCAGGCAGGATCACTGTTCTCATCAGCATCTCATAAACACAGAACTCACAGATCTCTGAGAGGCTGCAGGACTTTCTTATGGAGCAGAGCCAGGTCCTGGAGTGATTTTGCAGTTCCTCAGAAATCACACCAGCTCAGCATGCAAAAAGTCTGGGCCTCTCTGTTTTAAATCACTCAGTCCTGGTCCCGAAGAAGTTGGGAAGCATGGGGAAGGCACCTGTGGCCATTCCTCCACTATTACCTCCATCTCAGCAAATGGCTTCAGGGCTGCAATGATGGGCCCAAAGAAAAACTAGCAAGTGTGAGTAGAGCCGTATTGGCCACAGATTCCCTTCTGAGCGGGATGGATGAGGCCAGGTGAAGCCACCAGACTTTCAGAGTGATTGATACTGGCATCTGTGTGTGTTGGGCTCAGCTCTGCTTTAGGACACATAAATGCTCCCAGTCTGCCATAAAATCCTATTTCCATATCTATCTGTCTCCTTAAATTTTACTTGCATCAACTTCAGGTTGGACAGGCTTCTTGTTGGAGGTTTGACTGGCTAGCTAATAAAACCTGGGTTGAAAGAGTGCCAGCTTAGATTGTAAGCATCTTTTCTAGTCACCCTAGGCCATTCTAGCAGGGACCAGCCATCAAGCAAACTTCCCCGGGCTTTCACTGTGTCCTTGATGCAGAAGGTGCCACGGCACGGCTGCTTTTGACAGTGTCCTGAGTGCAGCCTGGAGAGCTGGCACAGGGCTCTCAAGTACAAAGTATAGAAATGTGAAAATGCATGTTTAGCTCCTCCTACTCTCCCTTCTTATTTTTCTACTTTCTTTCAAAACATTTGTGATAGAATATTTTTATTCTTCGAGAATCTGTCTCTTGGTTATGAGCTTTTAGAAAAATTCTCATGGTGTTCCTTGTGTGCTGGGCAAAGTGCTGTCTACATTTTGGAGAATCAAATGCATCTTTGTTAGAAGCTTCTAGAATTGTTCACTAGTCTGATTTTTTTTCCCTCAAGCTCCTGTTGTCCTTCCCTTTGGCAGCCTGGCCTGTTTATTCCTTACCTTTGGTTAACTCTGTCAACCTGCCTCCTGGCTGACTCTTAATGTTCTCCCAGTCCCTGTCCCTCACTAAATTCTGAGTGGCAGCTGAGTGGAAGGCACCACAGCTTGTGTTGGTGTCACTGTTTTGTTCCTGCTTCAATAACCTCTGGGCTCTGAGTATAGACCCTCACCCCTTAAGCCTTGCTGCACCCATGGGGCCTGCCACACACAAGACCTGACAGTTCCATCTATAATGGGGCCACCACATAGCCACCAGTCAGGGAATTGGGGGAGGGATGGATTCTGTCAGTGGTCATTGTTGCATAGCTGTCTGTATGATACTCTCCTAAATTATAGAAAATGACCACATTCACGTGCATTTTTATAGCCCCTGAATGTTGTGTTTATATACATACGTATTTTTTAACTAAAGAGAAAAGTAACTCTGCCTTTGTATGTGATCCTTTTAACAAACTGTTTGTTATTGTATCCAGGTAACAAGCATGGTAAGTATATTCTCTAACCTGAATATTTGGTATTTTAGCTGTGCTTGCAGATTTTTTTTTCTTTTTTGGCTAGCTTTATGTTACCAGCCTTGGCTATGTAGAAAAGATCCATTTAGGAAAGGAAAGACTGTAGCATCCCTCACACCCTGAGCTTTGGTAAAGGAACCACCATAGCCTCAGTCCCATAGCATGTACCCCAACAGCATGCTGCTTGGCTGCCCCCTACCCCTGCCCGTCTGCTGCTTCTGAGCTGCCCCCCATAGATGTCTGCCAGGGTTCCTAGGCCTTGAATGACCCAGCAGGGTTGGCACTGTGGCCCAATGACAGCAGGCACCCAAATAGTGTTGTCTACTTTCTGTAGATGGCCCTGCCCCTGCTGATGACCTTTCTTCTCACCTTTCACTTGAAAGCAGGGTCACCCCTGCCCCTAGTGTGGTACATCATTGAGTATTCTTCTGGAAATAGAAACAATGAATATATTGTTTGGCTTCCTATCTATTGGAAAATGGATTAAGGGTTTAAAACCCAACTTTGCCACTAGGTATTGCTTGCTAGTGGCCCCAATTCCATAAGCCAGAGTCACAGCCTCCTGGCCATTTGATTTCTCTCTGTGCATGTGTGCTTTCCTAGCCTCCGTGTGGCTCTGTATTTTAGTCTTTGTGCTCGTGGCTGTACTGTTTAACCCACATGGTAGCCATGTAATCTGTATTAAGTCAGTGTGTCACTGTCATCTTCAAGGATCAAACTGCCAAGGACAAGGCCTTACAGCACATGGCTGCCATGTCATCAGCCCAGATCGTCTCGGCTACTGCCATCCATAACAAGCTGGGGCTGCCTGGGATTCCACGCCCCACTTTTCCGGGGGCACCGGGGGTAAGTTAGCAACCAAATCCAGGAATGATGGATTACTGGGTATGATGGTATAGCTACTCAGGAGGGAGATTTAGGAGGATCACAAGCTTGAAAGCTTGTTTGGGCAACATAGTAAGTTCAAGACCATCCTGGTCAACTTGATAAGGCCTTATCTAAAACTAGAGCTCAGTGGATTGAATGAGGATATGGCTTAGTAGTAGACCACTTGCTCATCATACATGAAGCCCTTAGGACAATCCATAATATCACAAAATAAAAAATAGCAAGCTAGATGGATAGATAGATAATAGAAGAATAGATTAAAAGATAGATGGTGGGTGGATAGATATATAAGACAAGGAAGGCGAGAGAGACGTGTCTAGAAAGAAGAGAAGGAAAGGAAGTAGTGATAGGAAGGAAGAAAGGAAGAGATGGAAAAGGGAACAGGAAGAAGAAAGTGGGGAAAGTAAGAGTCTTGTTTCTGGTGTCCCATTTAGTCATGATCTGCCTCTTCCACTCTTTTTCCTGGTTCTTGGTCTCCATCCCCATATCCTCAGGGTCACTTTATAGCAACCACAGGGGCAAAATACTCTTTGTAAGATTTTCAGTTGACAGCTCCAGAAGGCTGAGAAGTTACCCCAGGGCCATCTTCAGCAGTCATGGCCATTTTGTTGATGCTAAAGGTGAGGTCACCCAGTAATGAGGCACCAGTAGAGGTGATTGGTTGGTCAATTAAGTAATACTGAAAGGATTCTGCCTTTCTCCCTCTTGATGGGGAATAGCAGGCACCGAAGGTCTCAGGTATGCTCACAGCAAAAATGAATGCCCAAGTTGCCTCTCCCGGCTCTGACTTTGTTACTCCAAAGTCCATGTGTCATTTCTTTGGACCTTGGGAGCTATATATTATGGGGTATACAGAAAGTACTTGTACTAGAGGAGGGCCAGCCCTTGCAGAATAAACTGAAGTACTTCCACATTGCCTCTTGGCCTTAGGAGAGTTTTCAGTACATAATGGCTAAAGGAACCCACCTATTACCAGGTCAGGGGTAGGTTATGGTCTTGAACACAGTACCTATATGCCAGAAAGATGATGCCACAGCTGGTAGATGGAAATAATCAGATGTTTTTCAGCAGGGGCATAATTTGGACACGTTCCCAAACTATGCTTTGACAAGAACTTATAACCCTGAAGCCTTTGCCTCTTGCCTTCTAGTTCTGGCCTGGAATGATACAGACAGGACAGCCAGGATCTTCACAAGAGTAAGTCTGTGAAGGGCCCAGATAGCAGGGGTTAGACAGCCCACCCTGGGGGAGTTTCTCCTATACCAGGGTTTCATAGAGGATAAGGGAGAGAAGACCGTCAAACGGAAGTCCCTGAATCTGCCTTTCCTTATGTCCCCGTGTTCTAGGACATGGAAAAGGACCCACCTTTGAGAGTTAGCACGGGTATAGATTCTTTTCCCCTACCTTTAGTATTAGTAATGACACAGCCAGAAACTTGAATTTGGTCCCTTATCCTCTGTGACTTTGGTTGCAGTACCAGGGTCTCTCTCACCTGCCAGAGGTCAGCAAGGATACTGTTTCTTTCCATTGTGGCTGCAATAGGAGTGCCTGATAGAAAATCCCAGAGACCCCTGTGAATTCAGGGAGCAAGCTCAGCCCACGAGCCAAGGGCAGTTTGGGGACGAAGCAGAAAGAAGAGTTTCTTTGTATATGTTGAGCCATGTGATCTGGAGAAGGGAGATCCTGACTCATGGCATCCTAAACCTTCCCTGGGCTGTGACAGATGACATTGGGCTATATGGGCAAGATTACACAGGAAAAATCTTTTGTTTTGTAGATCTAGATCAGCGTGGAATGAACAACCCAGTGCGGGCAGGGATCCAGACAGTGCGATGGGGTCATGGGGGAGGGTTGTAGCCAACACTGCATCCATGATTTTGATTCTTACTGTTTGTCCTTAGCGTCAAGCCCTTTGTGCAGCAGGCCTACCCCATCCAGCCAGCAGTCACAGCCCCCATTCCAGGTGAGTCTCTCTACTCCTTCTTTGATGGGCAGTGTGGGGCAGCCTGGCCCACATGAGTGCAGTGGTGTTTGTTGGTCTTAAACAACAGCCGCCCTCTTCTTTTCCCTTCTATCTTGAAACCCAGAAAAGTCCCAGGGATCTCCCGTCAGACTCGGGTCCCTTCACTCAAGAGTTTTCTTCTGGTGGTTAGAGAGATGGTTAGGAGCCCTGATTGCTATTACAGAGGACCTGGATTCATTTCCCAGCACCCACATGGTCTCTTATAACCATTTGTTAACCCAGTTCCAGGGGATTAACTCTCCCCCTTTCTGACCTGTGAATACCAGGCACACACATGGTGCACAGACATATATGCAGGTAAAACATTTAGATGTAAACATTAGTAAATAAAAATCTTCTAAGAGCTTTTTCTGTGCGATTGTCAGGAAACAGGAAGCCTGGCCACTTTCACTGGCTCCCACTTAGAAGGGGAAGTTGTTGTGGTTGCTGCCTTCACAGCCAAGTCCTGCAATCTGAGTTAGGCACAGATAACTTAAAGTTTCTTAGATAGTAAGTTTCAGTTTTCTCTTGGTTCCCTTCTGTAATGAAGGACTTATATAGAATTCTGCTCACAACAGAAACCATGAACCTGGCTGGCCCATCTGGCTTCCCTTTTCATGAACTCTCACCCAAATATACATAGTATCATCCAGCTGAAATTCCTGAGGTTCTGTATAATTCTTGACCTACCCTTTTAGTGTCCTAAGTAAAATTGCAATCCCTTGTTGCCCTCTGTTTGCATGGAGTGTCCTGAGGGAATGTTCACAGTCTTGAGATAGAAGATGAGTCAATAGAAGCAATGCACCATGGCAGGACCCAATGTACCAAGCCAGGATGCTTCACGGGATGACTCCTCAAGCATTTCCTTAGATGCTTTGGCCATTCTTAACTTGTTCTCCAGCCTGCCCTCTTTACCCAAGATTACCTGCCTGTATTAGTGGCTTTGACATAATATCAATACAAGCAACTGAAAAGAGGAACGTTTTGTTTGGGTTCACAGTTTGAGGGTATAGTCCATGGTGACAGTGAACTAGGGTGGCAGGAGTGTGAGACAGCTGGTCACTTCATATCCGCAGAGAGACGGATGCTGATGCTCCACTCCCTGTTTCTTTTATACATTGTTCAGGACCCTTGCTGTGAGGTGGCATTCTGCACATTCAGGGTGACACTTCCCTCTTCTTAAGTTAAACCTCATAGATATTTTACCATAGTGATTCTAAATTTAATCAAGCTGACAGTGGACATTAACCATTGACCATCCCAGTGTCCTCTTTAGCTGAGGCTGTCTTCATGGTGAGCCTCATGCAGTCCACTTAGCTGCCACACTGCCTGAGTGGAGGGAGTTGTCCTTTCCTTCTAGGTCCTCCGTGTTCGGAATTTTGCCCCATGGAGGTCTAGGAGGAGGTGTGTGTGAACTTGTGTAAAGGTTGACAATTGTCATTTCAGGGTTTGAGCCTGCATCAGCTCCAGCTCCCTCGGTCCCTGCCTGGCAGGGCCGTTCCATTGGCACAACCAAGCTTCGCCTGGTGGAATTTTCAGCTTTCCTTGAACAGCAGAGAGACCCAGACTCGGTGAGTATGCCCAAAGGGTGCTTCCATGCCTGCTCATTTCTTCAACCTGTGGCCTGTCCCTTGTGGACCTCTTTTCCCTTACACCTGTGTGAAATGTCCTGCGTGAAACACACATGGAACAACCAGGCAGCCCTTCTTCACCCAGGGAGAAGGACACTTTTGGCAGATAGCTCTAGTTTCAAAGGTGGGTGTTTATTGCTGCTTGGGCCACAAGCTTCAGGGAGTACCGGCTTATGTCTCATGAATTTAACAACAGGTAATATTTATGTGGCTAATATGATATAACGTATTTGAACACAATTAGATAAATGACAATGGATTAGTAACTTCTTTGGTTATATAGTTAATATCTCTAGATTAAAGATTCATTCTAAAACACTAAAGCCTAAACTGTCAGCCATCATATTACCCAGCACATCTAAGTCTGTGGGGTTCATCCCTCCCCCCCAAAAATCTTCAGAATTAATGGTGGTACTCTGACAGCTACTATAGACCACAATGCCTTATCATATTGTAAATACCAGAAACACAGGCATCTGAACTCTGTCATTTTCTTCTTTTCCTTCCCCACCCACTCCATCTTGTACACAGCATCCCATGCATATGTGAGCTTCCCTTCTTCCCTACCCCATAAGCCGGTACCCTTTGTTCACGCCCACTCCTTGGCTGTGAGTGTGAGAGTTGCATCTGTGTGTGGGTGAGCCCCAGGCAGCAATTGAAGCAATCATGAGTTAGTGTTTGGGATCCTCACCAACTCCTTTCCACAATCTATCTCCTGGCACTGACCTCTTTGGGGACCATGCTAGACATGTGGTTCCAGGGTTCGCTGTGGGTCTTGCTCTCATTCAGAGAAAGAGTCATAGGCCAGGCATGTTGGTACACACAGAGGCCGACAGACTTCAGTGGGTTTGAAGCCAGGCTGGTCTATATAGTGAATTCTAGGACAGCCAGGGCTCAGTCCTTGTCTGAAACACACACTGAGAGGGGGTAGCAGGCAGGCCAACAGACGATAGACAGAGGTGAGCACACACATCTTGTCATAAAGTGAACATTATGCTGAACATTAGAGGTAACCCTCTGAGCTTCAGCTTGGATGGGTGCAGAGGTGCCCAAGGCGAGTTCATGTAGGGCTCTTTGATGTACCTGCTACCCTGGGGACTATTAGAGAATAGGACTGCTCCAGAGTTAGGGGACAAGGAAGTAAAGTGGGTAACAGAAACTGAAGATGATCTTGAGACCAGAGCAAGGACACAGTCCCATGGTCTACTCTTCTCCAGTGGTGGAGTCTGTCTGGAAAGAACAGCTTGCTGGACTAACCCACACTGATGGGGGCGTTGTGATGATAGTAGATCAGTCTTGTTTCTGCCTGGAGGCCAGCCTGACCATCTCCTGCCTGCATCTTGTGTTTGTTCCCAAGTGCTTTGCTGTTGATTCTGTCCCTACAGTGCCCCTTTAGATGGTTCTGTTTTCCTCACTTTGCAGAGGGGGGAACTGAGGCCAGGTCCTTAAGTTATACAGTTGGCAAACAGAAGGAGCAGACTACATCCTCTCCTGAAGTGTCCTCTCATCACGGCTATAAATCCCACCATCAATGAAGGACCCCTGAACTGCCTACCTCTGTCTCTCCCCCTGTACCCTATTGCTGGTGTTTGGAATCTGCCTAATGAACATACATCAAATTTCTTTGACCATGGTTCCTCAGTCTGGGGCGGACATCCCCAAAGCCACAGATGTTCAATTCCCTTATAAACTACACACACACACACACACACACACACACACACACACACACACACACACACACACACTCCCCTGTACTGTTCTCTCTTTCTTCCTTCCCCTCCCTTTTCCCCTTCTTCCTTATCTCCCTCCCTCTGTGGTTTTTCAAGACAGGATTTCTTTGTGTCATGGATTTCTCATTTTAAATAGTTTCATACTGCACTCTTCAGGGAATGTCGGTGGCACCATCCCATAGACTGAGGTCCCAAACTAAATAAAAAGGAAGGACACTAAGGGCCAACTAAATATAGTATGTCAGAGACCTCTAAGTGCCAATGTAGACTGTCTCTCCTCACATTTTAAAGTTTCGAGAACTCACCCACCTGCAGCTTCCAGAGATCTGTTGCCCTCTCCTGGCCCCCAAGGGCATGTGCCTTCAAGACATATGCATGCAGAAAGGAAATGAAAACTAAAATCTTTCTAAAAATGTTACCTGATCTTTAGTTTAAAAATACCTAGTTTCAGCTAAGCAGTAGTGGTGCACACCTTTAATCCCAGCACTTGGGAGGCAGAGGCAGGTGGATCTCTGTGAGTTTAAGGCCAGCCTGATCTACAGAGTAAGTTCCAGGACAGCCAGGGCTATTACACAGAGAAACCCTGTCTTGAAAAATGAAAACAAAAGCAAAACAAAACAAAATGTCTAGTTTCAAGGTTAGAGATGTAGTTCAGTGAGAGAGGGCTTATTTAGTATGAGCATGCAAGACCCTGGGTTCCGCCCACAGCATCTCAACAGAAAGAAAGTGCATATAGTTTCAGACAATGAAGATGCTTCCTAATGTATCTGATGTTTCTGACATGAGATGTTTATATCAGATTCACCTTTAAAATTATATCAGTTATATAATAATTTTGTGTTACCTAGTGTGTCTCAAACACCATTTCTTAGAACATCCATTTTGCTGTTAAATGTATACAGATGAATGTATGGGGGTTGGCTCAGTTGGTAGAGTGCTTGCCTAGCCCTCTATGTGGGTTTGATCCAACCTTCACATAACCTGAACTTGGTAGTCTGAGTTTATAATCCCAGCATTTGGGAGGTGGACATAGGCAGATCAGGAGTTTAAAATTGTTCTTGGATCGGTAATGAATTGCAAGTCAGCCTGGGCTACATGTGTAGCAGGGTGAAAGTTGTGCATCTTCAATATTAGTGGAAACATGAGGCCCAAACTGTGGTCTCTGTGCTGGAAGAGAAAAGTGGTAGTTGACTCCTTGAAGTGAAAGGGAATTAGTCCAGATATTTAAAGCATCTTACCATGTCTGAAGTGGCAGCCTTTGCAATGACCTCACTTACCATTCACTAGGCAAATAAATACTCAGTGCTGCCCCCTGACAGGCCCGAGTGCTGCTTCAGAATCAAGATTAGGCTGAAAAATTTGAAACATGTGGATGATTTCTTTGGCTCTTGAGACTTTGTGTGATTTCCGAGACATTAATTTCACTGTATTTTTGTTCTAAGATAGTAAAGTTATGGTCATTTTAAAATACTCAGCTGGTATATTTAGAGACATTTGGAAATAACTTAGTTAAAATTTAACATGAAAACATTAATCACATTAGTTTGATAAGGAAATCAGCAAAGTGACCAGTAATTCTGGGCCCTTAACCAAATTAAATGTCAACGTTGGAGCGTCTAGATCTTTGCTCCATATCTACTTGCATGTATATTTCTTGTGTTCCTCTGCAGCAATGTAGGCTACTTTAAACCCTGAGGTGGTGAAATATCCTCAGTAGGGGCTGGGGAGATGGCTCAGGGCTTTCTCCCTTGCGGAAGATGAGATCAGTTCACAACACCCACTTTAGGCAGCTCAGCAGGAGTCTGCAGGCGCCTGCGCTCATGCGTACATCCCTACACACAGACACACATGCATGCATGATTGAAGTGAAATAAATCTTTTATCCATCTATTTATTCATTTATTAGTTCTTTGTTTTTGTTTTTTTTCGAGACAGGGTTTCTCTGTGTTGTGGAATTCTCTCTGTAGACCAGGCTGGCCTCACTCACAGAGATCCACGTGCCTCTGCCTCCTGAGTGTTGGGATTAAAGGAGAACTTAGAGGTAGTGAGAGTGAAGAGAGGTGAAGCAGCCAGACACGGTGCTGGGGAATTCATTTATAAAGTAGGTCAGTCTACCTCTTCCTGAATAAGAGGCTTGACCATAGGTAGCTTTGAACCCTGGTCATCTGTGTCACGATTGCTTAGCTGCCTAACAGCAAAGCCCAAGAGCCTGGAACCCAGCCTGTCTCCCTGGTACAGGGCTGTACACTCTGTACCAGCCTTTCTTGAAACCCCACTGGCTCACCGCACGATGCTGCTGTCATCACTAAGGACGTCTCAGTTTTGCCACTGTCATGTGGACAGTGTTAGTTCCAGTAGCAGTTCTGGCCAATCCCTCTTTAACCTTTCCTATGTGCCAACACTATATGCTAGCTTATTTAACTCTTATGAAGTAGTGTGCCTCATGTTAGACTGCCAACTGATACTCAAGATGGGACTCATATCCAGGTCAGCTGACTCCGAGTCCTGAGATTGTGACCAAAAGGCTGTCTGGTTCATTTATGTCTGAGGAATAGCCTGTGTTCATGGCCCAAGGCTGTGAGGAACTAATGGAAGAATAATAAATGGCTGACGCCCCCTGCTGGCGCCAGGTCCTGCATGCAGCAGATGGCAGCATTTCCCCAACTTGGTGGTTGTTTATGTTGGTAGAAAATCAGCAAGGCAGTCCCTCTGTTACCTTTGGCTCCACTAGAAGTGAAGAGAAAAACAGCAGAGGGTGAAGAAAAGAAGGAAGAACCTAAATAACAAAGACTGCTTTAGAAGTGGTTGGGAGTGCTTGAAAAGACACTTTCTACATGGTTTCCGTGTCGTGCATCAAAGTGTGAAGTGCAAGCTTCTCCATGGATGTGGACAATTTAAAGGACCAGTCCTGGGATTGGGGCCCAGTGGCGGGGGAGGGGGGATGTAGGCAGCTGCTTCCTGTATACACAGAATCTCATAGTAGGAAGCTGTGTGTGGTGTCCTGTGTGTGCCTGGTAAAGCCTGGATGGTTCCTCAGCCCCCACCCTCAACCCACTCCAGAAACAAAGACGGTCCCTTAATGGTATGCCGCCTCTCTACTCAGGTCCAGCACATCCCCTCCTTGTCACTATCTAGGTTCCATGTTTCATGTCCACTGTGCTCTGCATGCCAGCAGGAGCAGAGAATGAGTAGGGTTGCTTAGGTGAG